AAAAGCAATCTGTCGCATAGATAGTCACAAAATTTTGATATGACATGCACAAAAACTCGTCTCTTTAACATAGATGGGAACAATTCTGTCCTCCGTGTAATAAGTAAAATGTAGCTGAAAAGATATCAGCCATTGTCCAAAGATCATTGTAAATCAGCAATGCTGGTCAGAATTCACACTGTTCACGCTAAAAAACGAAATGTCTTGCGCAAACAATAAAAGAGAAAATGGCGCCTTGGACTCAGACAGGTATACATTGTATCAAAAATGTTTATGCTACAGTTATAATGTTTTGATTAGTAGTGATAAAATCAGTGGCAATTTTATTAGGTACTTGCTCTGATGTATCAACATTTACAACAATCTGATTGTCCAATGTTTAGTGAAAACGATTGTAACAACATGTCAACAAGAAACAAAATGATATTCAAAACATTTGAAGATAACTCAAATACAGCCCATCTATCACGTGTATTTAACAAACGATTATGACGCACATTTCAGCAGTTCACATGATGCCCTAGACTAGAATATTATAACGATTCGAGATCTCCAATATCTCGCAAAGCGCACAGATTCTAGGCGAAATCCCTTTGTGACTGACTTATTAGTACGCCTGGTTTGAACTTGTGCAAGCAAATTACTGTACCTCCTGCTCAGTGCCTGTAGTAGTACTTCCCCCTGTTCCACCCCCTTGTCCGTGGCCGTAATCGAATGATACGGAATCACCTGAAGTAAAATTGGTGTACATGGTTATCTTGATAACTTCAATAAAATTTAACCACACCAAAAACACTTGCGCCTTACGTAGTATGTAAAGTAAGCGTTCCTTTCGCGAGCGCCGCATTGATCCAAGTCGGTTCCTTTAACATCCAATGTGTGTCAATATTTATAAAAATAAAGACTATAGATACTTATTTTATTCAAGCTTCTTTTTTTATAACTTTAATTTTTGTTAATATTATTTAAATAGTATGTATGTTAACCTACGAGGATGTCAGAGTGTGGTGCTAGTGAATATGACGCATAGTTCAGTGTCGTCAAAATGGTGCCGCGTTTCCCCTGTGTCTCTTTTTACGCCAACCTGTGAAGCGCCTGGAGAAAAATTGTAACAATTGGTGAAATGAAAAAAAAAACGAATTAAAGAAACATGTAAAAAATTTAACAATATCCACACCATATTAATTTGAAAGTATTGAAGATCCAAGTGATAACAGATTACAAGTGCATTCAGCGAAGCCTCGTTAGCGCAGTAGGCAGCGCGTCAGTCTCATAATCTGAAGGTCGTGAGTTCGATCCTCACACGGGGCAGCTTCACTTTTTCTTTACTTGAATTCTGTAGGATGATAAATGAACCAATTTCTATTTTTTTTTTACTCTCTTTTATTTTTTATTTTGCCATGCCTTTATTATGAAATTTAACTCTATGATGACGGATTTGTAACAAAAACTAAAATTGCTAGCGAAAAAACGTATTGACAATTGAAAAAATCAATATCATAATGTTTGAACTGAAAACTAAGTAAAGAAACAAGAAATAATTGTAGTTCTATCTTCTATCATCCCATAGCTTCTAATGGCCAACCTCTTACCTTATTTAAACAAATCTGATATACCCCCACCCACAGAGTTATGAAAAAGTCTCAAAAACAAAATCTGTTTTCATTGTCACTAAATTTACTGTTACTAGTATGTTTTTAAATATAAATCCATTTTCGAAAGTGAAGGGAAGTTTTCAAATGTGAAGAGAAGTTTTCAAATATAAATCCATTTTAAAAAGTAAAGGGAAGTTTTCAAATATAAATCCATTTTCAAAATTGAAGGGAAGTTTTCAAATATAAATCCATTTTTAAAGTGAAGTAAAATTACTACAGTACATGAGACCTCACATACAAATTGACCTGTACATAGGCCCACCCACACTCCGGACCATTTTTCTCGTCTATTATTTATAGATTTTTCAAAATCTTACAATCACAGATGGCATGTAAAGATACATGTGAAACAGCTTAAAATTGGCATACAGGGCAACTTTTAATTACAATATTAAGCCTATTTTTTTGCAATGAAATGCCAACAGGTATTGTAAAACTTTACAAAGTTTTCATTTGGTGGTAAGTTGTGGTGGTGTATAGCAACACTGTTATAGTTTATGTCAAATTTTATTCAATCAAAAAAAAAAATGACATTTTTATGTTTTAAAACCATTCTTGTGGCACAACTAAATCAAATTTCATAGTATATCCAAAACCCATGAATGAAATATGTACAAATTTTGGCAGAACAGTTCATGACTGGGCAGGAAATCTTGTTGAAATGTTTTCTGTCACTGTCTTTAACCGTTGAATGCCAAAGTCAACTTCAGGCACCATCTACAAATACTGTAAAATACTTTATTTTAGCTGGAATTTAGGATTTTGTATGGAATTTATTTTCACTAATTTTTGAAAAGTTGAATGTAAAATATAGGAAAAAAGGCAAAAAAAAAAAAGCGAAAATAAAGTATTTTAAAGTAGACACATTTATAGTCCATACTTTTCCACATGAAAAATTGTGCAAAATTGAAATTGTTCGATCAAAAACTAGAAGTAATGTTACAATGGTCTAAAATGAATTCAGTGAAAATGACAGAAAATGTGAACAATTTTACTCAAGTTGGATCAGGAAAGAAGTTTGGCACTTGAAAGGTTAGGAAATAGACTGGTAGCAGCAGGGAAAAACAGGTAAAATTGAACTGTGATTCAGACATTCCCTAAAAGTCACTAAACATACTACGTTCACTATAAAAAGGTAGGTAGAGCATGTCTGTAGTTGTTCAGTTATATCAAGAAAACAAAAGCAGATAAAAGAGCAATCGGTGAGAGGCAATCCTCTCGGCTACAACATTGCAAAAGTCTTGTGCAATTCATAGAATTGTGTGATAGAAAGTGTTAAAAAATGTGTTTTTAATAGTCAAAAATGCATACCCGGTAAAACCAAAATTGGCAGTCAGATAATATCTTAGACAAACATCGTGTCACACGCAACGTAATATTACCGTAATTGGTATAGTACAGGTGTGATGGTTCAAATACCAAAATGGCAACAGTAAAATAAAGACTTCCCTGGCGGCGATGATAACATACGAACACGGAGTCAACAGATGAGGTTTCAACTGGTACTGGTATTATTATACTCTGCAAACATCAAGTACAATAACTCGGTAAAACTCCAAACCTCCAATAACTAGATACTTAAACTCCAACACAATTCAACGAGATCTCCGATCTGATCTCAGTGCTGAACAACTCCCCTATATATACCCACAGTCTATAAATAGACCATTACATCAGCATACATAATGAGTCTGGAACTTACTACAAATTTCTAGAATGTTCCATTACCTATTCAACCAGTTTCTAAAAATTCCACCCAGACACAGTACGGTTCTAGAACATTCTCAGTCACACGGATGTGGTAAACAAGTCGTATGCGACATGCCTCCCCTCTCAAGAATATTATAACATATAATATTACATGACTAGCAACGACGTCAATAATACGAATACGATAACAATTTCAAATAAAACAACAATAATATATCAAATCGAACTGAGTACATAAATTCGAAAATCACATACAGTAGAATATAATAAAATATGAAATACAGTCATAAACGAATAACATTCTACTATACTGTTCAAAAGTTCTTCAGTCCAGGAATATCCTCAACAC